CACAAAAATAAATAGCTGCTCCTTCTGTAAATAACAAACCATTTTGAACTTGAAAAATTACAATTTCTCTTAAAACATAACCAACTGACTGTGCGAGAAGAGCAATGAACGCAAGAAAAGTAAAACTAAAAAAAAAACTTTTGAATTTCGAAGAAACAAATAGATTGCATTAAAGAAGGCAAATAGAGGGCATTAAAGAAGGCAAAAAAATTGAATAGAAAGTAAAAATAAATTGATCCAATTAATCAAAAATATTAATTCAAAATAACTATGATTAACATTTTGGTTAATTAACAGTATAAATAGGTATTCATGTTGAATTTTTGAATAGGTATTCATGTTGAAAATAAACAAGCCATTCTGCGCTTTTGTTTGAAATGAATATTTTATACGAAACTTATACATGGCTAGCGGGAGATTCTACCGTAGGTTACTTGGGGGGGGGGGGGGGAGGAGGGAGGTATTGTACAGTTGATCCAAAATCAAACTCAGAATATGTTCAAGCAGATTTGCAGGCTTATCGAGCCTAACTTTTGCGGTTACTCGCACAAACTAACATAACTGTCAAAATGAACAATTCTAGAAAGTATTCTACCAAAAAAAATCCAGAACAAAATATTTTTTGCCTGAAGCGATTTGGGAGGAGTATCCATAGTTTTAAAATAGTCTACACTGTTATTTCGCTTTTTAGAACAACAATCATTTAATTGAACTTACCTCAAAATCATATATTTATAATTTGAAGCAGCTTTGCTGGCTAACCGAGCTGATCTTTTGCATAAGTTCTCAATTACTAAGATCAGAAAGAGAACAAATTGAATATTTTAGCACGGTTTTTCCAAACAAAACTTAGCAACTATTAACATATTTCATCACTTCACACAGGCGTGAAAATCTATTTTCATTTTAACAGATGAATCTACATCTCATCTTTATCATCATTGAAAAGTCCAAAAAAAACATTTACTTAGTACTAGCGCATGACAAAAATATGCACCAAACCAGCAATTTTTAACGCAACCGTGAAAATAAACTAGGCTCATCAGAGGTTTATTTTTCATAAAAACGGCATATCTCGAAAACCGAAATGATTTGATCATATATAATTAGATTCAGATTTGCTACCTTATATTGTTTCCTGACAGCATCCCACCATAAGGATAAGAAATTCAATTTCTAATTTCTTTTTGTAATTTTGAAATTATTGAAGAAACGCCATATCTCGCAAGCAAGAAAGAATTGAGTACTAAAAGTCAGAGCCGAAAATATTTGCATCCTGACAGTAACCCCTGGATGTACCCTGACAAAACCGCGCCATTGGGGTTGAGAATTTCAAGATTGGTTATTTATTTAATTCAAGTTTTTTGAAAAACATTGAAAAAATCATAAAAATTGCCACATAAAGGAAACCACAAAGATTTGATCAAAAATAATTAGAGGGCATATTTGCTAAGCAAATGTGTAACTGACAAGACACCGCCTTAGGGTTGAGAAATTGAAGTTAAGTTAAAGTTTTTTTTTATGTCTAAATTTTTTGAACAAAAAAATGAAACCATATAAAAGGCTATGTCAAGAAAACCGTAAAGCTTTGAGCAGCCCAAACCGGAGAAGTTTGCCCTGAGAACACCAAAAAAGGATTGAGAATACCAAGTGCGCTTGGTTTTTACTAATCTGATTTTTTTTGAAAAAAGAAAGAAAAAAAACGTTATGTAAAACAAATGTTACACAAGTGTAACAAATGTTACACGATATGCAAATGTGTAACTGACAAGACCCCGCCTTAGGGTTGAGAAATTGAAGTTAAGTTAAAGTTTTTTTTTATGTCTAAATTTTTTGAACAAAAAAATGAAACCATATAAAAGGCCATGTCAAGAAAACCGTTAAGCTTTGAGCAGCCCAAACCGGAGAAGTTTGCCCTGAGAATGCCAAAAAAGGGTTGAGAATACCAAGTGCGCTTGGTTTTTTCTAATCTGATTTTTTTTTGAAAAAAGTTTAAAAAAAACCGCCATATTACGAAAACCAAAAACATTTGAGCAGCCACATTTGAACGCCAGCTTTGAAACAACTGAATTTCAACCTCACAGCAACCCACAATAGGGTTGAGAATTTCAAGCTCGGTTAGTTTTTATATCTTATTTAAAAAAAACGCCATATTACGAAAATACGAAAACCAAAAACAATTGAGCAGCCATATTTGAACGCCAGCTTTGAAAAACCTGAATTTCAACCTCACAGCAACTCACAATAGGGTTGAAAATTTCAAGCTCGGTTAGCTTTTATATCATATTTTTTCAAAAAAAGAACGCCATATTACGAAAACCAAAAACATTTGAGCAGCCATATTTGAACGCCAGCTTTGAAACACCTGAATTTCAAATAGGGTTGAGAATTTTCAGCTCGGTTAGTTTTTATATCTTATTTTATTTTGAAAAAAAAGAAAATCATAAAGAACGCCAAATCTCGAAAACGAAAATGATTTGAGCAGATATAAATAAAGAACAGTTTTGCTACTCTGTATTTTTACTGAACAACAGAGTTTGACCTTGCAGAACCCCACCATACGTTAAGTATTTCATTCTATTACTTGTTTTTTGAAAAGTATTGAAGAAACGCCATATCTGACAAACAAAAGAAATTGAGCAGTTAAAGTCAAATCCGAGATTATTTTTAACCTGACAGTGCCCCCTGAAAGAACCCTGACAAATCCCCACCATTAGGGTTGAGAAATTCGAGATACGTTGGTTAGATTTTTTTTAATTCAAATTTTGTGAGAAAATTGAAACAATCATAAAACACGTAATGTTGAAATACACAATGATTTGATCAGTCATGTTTAGATGGCAGGCTTGCAACGCAATTGTGTAACTGAAAGGACCCCGCCTTATGGTTGATAATTTGAAGTTCTGTTAGTTTTTTCAAATCTGAATTTTTCTAACTTTTTTAACGACCATTAAAAACTCCGCATCTTGGAAGCCAAAAGTATTCAAGCATTCAAAATTGGAGAGAAAAACTGCAACCCCTAAGTTTATTCTGACAGCACAACATTATGGGATTGAGAATTTCAAAGATTGTTAATTTTTTATATATCTAGTTTTTCGAAAAAAAAATCAAATCATAAAAAATCACTATAATCAAAAAGAGCTGAGACATCATAACTGAACACCAGCTCTGCAACCTCTGAATGTACCTCGACAATAATTTACTATAGAGTTGAGAATTTCAAGTTCGCTTAATTTTTTATATCTAAATTTAAAAAAATGAAAAAATCATGAAAATGCCAGATCTGGAAAACCAAAAAAAATATATGAAGAGTCATATTTAGAATCCAGGTTTTTAAAGCATGAGTGTAAACTAACAGCACCCCAGTATAAGGCTGAGAAACTCAAGTTAGAAATATTTTTTACAAAGTTTTTCGAAAAAAAAAAAACATAAAAAACATATCTCGGAAACCAAAATTATTTGAGCAGTCAAACTTGGACGCCAGATTTGCAACTGCTGAGTGTACCCTGGCAGCAACCCACAACAGGGTTGAGAATTTCAAGTTCGGCTACTTTTTTCATATCAATGTTTTGTGAAAAAAAATTAAAAATCATAACTCAAAAACCAAAAGGTTGTATTTGGACGATAGATTTGAGTGTACACTGACAGCACCTTTTAATAGGGCTGAGAACTTAATAATTAAATAAATCTAAGGTTATACAAAAATTTTGATGGTTTTCATTGCGAATATAGCTTTGCAGTCGCGCTCCAAAATCTTTTAAAACGTCGACTTGAGTTAACATTTCAACCCTTGCAATGTTTTGGCCTTTTTAATTCTCAAACATAGGCCAAAGGAAAAATTTCTTAAGCATTACAATATACGATATAGCTTAAACGTGCAAAAAACGTTTCGTTAAACATGCAAAAAATACGTTGAAAAAGCTTAAACATGTCAACATAGGCACTTATTAAACATGTTTCAAGTGATACGCCGATTAAATAATGTATAGATAGATAAAAAACGCTTGCTAATCGCACGCGTAAAAAACTGGCCCAATAATTTCCTACCATTTACACAGAGGCGAAGCTGTGCTTCGCAGAGAGACTAGCGAGAACACTACAAAAAGCAGCTCTAAAAAAGTTCTAAAAAGTGCTATAAGAAGAAGTCAAAAAAAGCTCACAGTAAAAAAATTCATCGACGTCTCAGACTCCAACCTAACTAACCACTCATCCTCGGACGCTTACTCCATCACAAGCACTAGCCACAAATAAAGTCGAGAACAGATGTTATGAATTTTCTATGCTACAGAGCGTGATTATAGCAAAAAGGCACACAAATGAACACTATAATTTCGTATTTGCGAGTTAGCTTAGAAAAAAAGAAGATTCGTACTAAAACACTGGCTGTTCGCTAGCGTTATGATAAAAGTCAAACTGTAAACCAACAGAGACTGGAACAACATCCGCTAACTTGAAACAAAAACTTTTCTAGTGTCGAAAATACTACATCAACCAAAATATTCATACATGAGGCAAATGTGCCTATACAATATAAGCAGAATCAAATTAACCCTACAAAAGCGCAAAAACTGAAATTATACAAAATCGGAGCTGGTAATTATACAAACATATTAAGAAACAAAGTTGCCCAAGAAACATGCTCAAAAATGTCTACGTATTATTTGACTGAAATAAATTCCTCACGGGATGAATTGCATAATTTTACTACTTCAACTACTACTACTGACGAAACCACAGAGTTGACTGAATGACTCAGTAATTCTGTTAGACAAGTTGTGAACCAGAAAAAAATCATGTTCAGATTTAATAACGTTTGCTCATCGCATCAGCACTGCAATTTAACAAACTCGAATTTTTTTTAACCGGCTACTCTTGGTTAAACTCGAGGTTTCTGGGGTTATAAAACAATTTACACGAAAAAAAGGGCGATTGAAGTAATACGCTTCAGCAGTTTTATTAGATCAACGTAGTTTGCAGCCTCAGCGGTAAAAACTACAAGATTTAAGGTAAGAATTCAATTCACACGCTAAATTTCAGTAAAAAAAAAACATAAATCTTTCTTTATCCTCCTTCGTCGTCTGGGTAGTTGTCTTTCACGTCCAGATCTTCGCCATACTGGATTTGGGAGTCGATCAACATCAAAAGATCAGCCATTGAATTTTCCTCGCTCATGTCCAATGTATGGAAACCAACCAGACCATAACTATCCAGCAAATTAACCAATGAGGTAGTTAATGTTTTGTACTTCGTCATGAATTGGTCGCCTTTGTTCTCATTATTCAGGTGTTTTAGCAACTCATGATGCGATTCCATTAGATCCAGATAACCATCTAAATTTTCCTTTTGCTCAACGTCTAGTAAATCAACTTTACTCAAAACATTCACGAAGGGTACTTCAAGTTTAGTCATTGAACTTAATGCGGCCATTGAACCGCCTATGAACTTAGCACTGTCTGTAATACATTGCACATCAAACATGCAAACAGCTGAGCATCTGAAATTGTGATGATTTTGCAAATGTGTGATCAAAGTTTTCATCACGTCTAAATGAGTGTACAGTTCAATTTGTCCTGGACAGTCAAAAACCCAATAATCATCATCGCCTTCGCCTAATTGTGAATCGAGCCATTCTAGATTTTCGATTAGAAACTCCATGCAAAATACTAAACCTCCATTCGGTCCAAACTTAATAGATTCATCTTCGTCGTCTAAAACGTCTTCTAGGCTAATTAATTCTCTCACATCCACATCAGGAGTGTAATCAAAAAATTCGGCAGCCGGGTCCAAATTTACGATGTTGATTCGTCGTCCTACGTCTTCGCAATGACGCATGAGGTTGCTGCAATATGTAGACTTTCCACTGCCTGCAGGACCAATCACTATCTGACAGAATCTCGACATTATTCTCACATTAGTAATTTCTAGAAAAACTCAAAAATGACCAGAAAATGTAATGTTTAAAAAAATATGCAAGAAGCCACGGTTCCCAAATCATAAGCTACATATACCGCTGCATGAGGAGAAAACCAAACTTTCTAGCTGAGCAAAGAGTCATTTCGAGTTCATCATGAATTCAAACAGTTTAAAACAAACTACATATACAATTACAGTATATAAATTAAAACAAATAATTTTAAATAATTTTCTTTCAACTAATTAAAAAAGTAGCACAAATTTTGATACATTCTTAATATAACTATTTTGACGGCCTATATTTGGGCAAAAAGCTTTAATCTTTTGACAAAACGAACATACACTTGGACAAATACAACTGACCGCTCAGAAAATTCCACAATAAAGTTCAGTTGTCAAAAAAAAAAAACACACCAGTGGACTTCAGATTAAACCCCCACATGAACTAAGCTGGATAGTAATTTCAGTACTGCCGTAACATGTCCTTCCGCTAACCCATGCCTTTCTAGCACTAGCGTCAGAAGTTTGATAAACCATTTAAACGTTTGATAAAAAAAAATCGATGGAAGTCTGATCTCGCGAAAATGCGGGAATATTTATGATGAACAGCTCAGACAAAAAAGAGACAAGCCACAATCAACAAGTCCATTGTAACATAATTGAAACGTTCTGCGGCTGTGTGGGAGAAAAACAAAATACAATCTTTGATCTGAAGGTTCTGAGATACTGTTTATTACCATGAATTTAAGTTTTGGTGCGTGGCTTTTTAGCAAAACCGGACAATTTCCAACATTCAACCTTGACCTTCAATTCTGAATATCTTCAATTCTGGCAACAAAATCTCGTCTTTTACTTCGTTTGTTTGAGGAAACGATCGGCAAATTAGCTCCGAACTGTCTAGAAAACTTAGCTCTCTTAGGAACTTCTGCCTAGTAATTTCGATTATCCTCGGAGCCCGGCAGCTATAACGAGATTTTCTAAGATGCTAAAGCTTGATTGACAAACCTTCTAATTAGGACAAATTTTTTACGCTATATGGTCACGTTGATACACAAGTCTTATACAGTTCACTCTCTTAACTTGCGCTAGATTTTCGAAATATACAAATGGTAGAGCATTTAAGTCCAAATTTTCAAAAGATAAAAGATATTCTTGTCGATGGACCGCAAATTGCTGTTGATATCGTTGAGGTAACTCATTCTTACAAAAGATTCATCGCCAACGTACAAGGAACCAATTCCTGAATAAATAATCAGTGCGCAAGATGTTAATAAATATTCGGAATCTTCTAATATATCTTTTTTTAAAATCGCGTAAATCACATGCTGGATCAAATTTTGTACGTTTGAAATCAATAATAAGACGCCGAACTTTCCACGGGGTTCTCAGTCTTATGAAGGTTAACAACTTTACACCCGTTTTAAATCCATCTCTCGGAGCGGGTTTAATAATGACACTTAATAAAAAAAAGTCAATTAAAATGGGCCCTTCCGTCATGCGAAATGACACTTAATTGTAAATCTGCTTTTTCTACAACAGCGAGATTTTTTCTACTAGACCACGAAAAAGAGAACAAATCGTTTAGAGACTGAGACAAGTACACAAATATCAGTTCAAAACGTTATCAGTCAATTCCGTTAGAGATAGATACGGTACCTCGGACACTAAAATATCTTCGGTTTCTACTTTCAATCTTTTTGGATCAGAGGCCTTTAATTCATTTTCCTTGGTCGCCATCAAAATAATCTGAAAGCATAAGATTTAATTTCTATTTCGCCATTTAAACGAACACTAAATACTGGGCATTGTTCCTAAATACTGGGCATTATTGGATTCATTATGTTTTATTAGAAAAGCTATTCACTATAAGAAGCCATTATCAAATTGTTTTTTGGTGAACATGATTCTGGTTGCAGCTTTGTCATTACAGTATACTTGTATCCCAACTCCTTTGCCTCTTGGAGTCGGTCGAAGTCTACTAGATTCATGCAATCGTTCCTTTGATCGACATCAGTTGAGTTATCGGCCCCTTTCGTTAGCAAGTAGAACTCTTCCGTTTTTATATCCTTTCGTTTAAATAAACCACTACGTGGATACTGGAAGTTTTCGGCAAATCTGATGTTTCCATAACAGCAAGGACAGACAGCAAATGACGCCTTTTGCTTGTAACACATCGACAAAACAATGTCAGTTGACGGACCACATGCGTGAAGCGAAACTCCGACATCAAATCTTCCCTTAAACTGTTCAATACTACAATGCAACATTTTGATGTTTCCAAGGCCACCCATTTGGATGCGTTTCTTGGCTTCTTCCAGAGATTCCAGCTTGTTATCTAGCAGAATTATTTGACAATCTGGCAGCAGATGAGCTAAAAGTAATCCAACATGTCCGCCACCTGAACAAAAATCTACAATGACAAAACCGGGCCGACTTATTTTCAAACAAGCCGAAACAATGCTCAAGATTTGTTCTCGTTTTCTATCAGTGCGTTTTTCTGGAACAAAATGCGACACATCAGCAAATTCTGGCAAACTGCTCCAATTAAAATGAGCCATCCAGTCTGAATTGGGATGCACATCGGTAGAAGGATTTTCCACTGCTTTCATAACCATGCCAATCAGATCTTGCTTCGAGAGGCCACGTGGCAGCCAGCGCCCCTGGTTTATTTGAGGTGGATTTTTGACATAACCAACATCAGTATCAGGGATAAAGAAGTCATATGACAGTAAATTGATGTCATATCTCAATTTCTTTTTCAAAAGCGAAGTATTTATAGTTATTCGATCCAGTAAATCTTCAAAAGCCAAAAGCATTAAAATGGTCCATCGTCTGATTTCTGGTATATTTTCAAAAGAAACGTCCGTTGATGTTTGCGTCAATTTAGCAATATACGTGAAAAGAAGAATATCAATAATCGTTGGAGTTAACCCTGTGCAATATATATTCGGAATAAAACCAGACTGCACGATGGAATGAAACTTGCGGGAACATAAAAACCATTTGGAAATGTTGTGATTGGAAAATACTTTGGGATCAGAAATATTATCATTTATATTCTTGCATTGTTTTTCTAATTTTTTTGCAAGACCGGGTCCGTTAAAAACTGCAGCGGGAATTTTGAGATCTTGATCAATTTTAATAAGCAAATTACAATTTGATAAAACTCCGCCATTTGCAGCAAGTTCACCTATTAATTTAGGAAATTGGACTTCAAAAACAAAACGCCAGTCACAGAGGGATTCGTAGCTTTTTAGCAGATTAGATTTGGCTCCCAGCAGGGATGTTAAGGTGTGATCATTTGATGACATCAAAAGAAGACGAGCACAAATACACAGACCCGAATGCAAGAAGGGTGCACCTTCTTCAACGAGTATCGGTGGAATTAATTCGCTATAAGTTTCATTCCCCAATTGATTCCTTCGTTCCAGTTCAAAACCGAAAAAATTAGCAACAGTGAAACATATTTCCGAGCGGACGTCTTCTTCGCTTCCTGCAAGAATGTAATCTGTTTTTAATAAACTGTAAGTTTCCATTGGCTAACCAGATGATTCCAATTCTAAGACATCAGACACTAAAATTAACCGTGTATTGGCTGCAATAAACGTAAGCTAGCATTTCGCTAACTCTACATGGGCGAACTAGAGGTACTTTCTGTAGAATTCAAGACGAAAATGACAGAGGAGCCTTTCTATATATATATATATAGTTGTTTTTATCAAAAATTGACCGAAAAAGTATTCAATTTTTTTTTTACATTTTATGAAGTTTTTTATTTGTATTTTAGGTATTTTCTTCATGTCACGAAGGTGCTAACTAAATGTTCAAAAACTAAAATAAAACCGGAGTAAAACTAAGTTTTAGCGCTTTATTTCCGTATGAAATACCGCTTGGCGATTAGATAACTTTAAAGCTGTTTTTCTCTACGGCGAAGAATTTTTTGGAACATTTTTATGGGGTTCGAACGACTGCAAGGGCGTTAAAATCATGCATCACTCGACCCTTTCAGACGATTAAAGAGACAAAAATAAAGCTAAAGAGTCTTGGAAAATATCACTTTTCTGTTAGCTGAAATTGAAATTAATCGTCTCACATCCACCCACCTGCTCCTTGGGCTCTTGAACGTTTAGTCAAGCATTTGCTACTAAGCAGATATCGAATATATGCGTCCAGCAAAATATTGAAAACAAGCAATACCGCAACAGGATAAGTGAACATTAAAAACAGAATTAATTGCCATTTGGGTCGAAAAACAATGAACTGGGTAACTTGACACTATGCTCACTTGATTAAAAAAGCCTACGCGTTGAATCAGTCCAGCAATTATAGATTAACCAGAACGTCGGAAGTATCATAGTAACCGAGGTTACAGTCAGAAGTCCCTTCATCAGATTATCCAGTTAAAATTTGATTGAAATTTGCGGGAGCATAAAAACCATTTGGAAATGTTGCGATTGGAAATTATTTGGGATCAAAAATATTATCATTTACATTCTTGCATTGTTTTTCTAATTTTTTTAGCAAGAATGGCTCCGTTAAAATCTGCAGCAGGAATTTTGAGATCTTGATCAATTCTGATAAGCAAATTACAATTTCAGTTCAGTTTCAGTTGTTTTTCTGATCATTTAGGCGTTTTATTGCCTCTATCGATCAGCTCATGATGTACTCCTTTACAAAGAAAAATGAACACTTTATTTGCACATCGAAATTAATTTCAATACACAAAAGTATGTCAAATGTTTTCTATTTTTTTTCTATCAATTCATAAAAATATTATAACATCATTAGATACGCATAGTTAAAATAACAATTAACAAAACAAAATCTATTACAATTATCGATGCTTATTTTTCACCTGAGAGCTTCAAGGTGGTTTATATAAAAATGTTATTATATAAACTTGAAGCTTTTCCACGAAACTTTACCATGAGTTGCCACAGAGGGGTCTTCGTTAAATAATTAATAAAAATTCTTGAATTTTATCTTTGCTTTTCCGTATGTTAGTGTGTCTTTATAATTGACTTTTTCATCTGTTAGTTTGTTCGAGATTATGACGGACTTTTTAAAGAATGGATTTTCCATGTATTGCCCATTGTATCTATTGCCGAAATATAATTTTTTGTTTCTTGTATTAATATCAATTTGGTGGATATTGTACTCAATGTTACTATAGGCTGGCAATAATTGCTGTTGTATTTTCCGAAAGTGACATAATATTTTATTGACCAGAAACATTGTTACTGGCAATATATTGTGTTTTAGCTTCAAGTCTGAAGATGAGTCGTATTTTGCACGATCGCAGCACGTTTTTACTGCCCAGCTTAACTATTTTCCAGAGATATCATAAGGTTATCGGATATTTCACTTAAAAGAATTGCTAAGTAATGCAAATGACTAATTCCCAGTGCATTCATTATCAAGAGTCTTGTTTTTACTGGCAATATCTTTTTGATTGATTGAAGTGTTTTTATTCCGCATGCCATTCTCCCGAGAAAATTTTTGATTTCACCTTGGAATGTGAGAAACTGATCTAAAACTACTCCTAGGTATTTAATATTGGTTCTTTCCTCAATTATTTTATCATCTAGAGTTATAGTATACTTTTCATCCTTTTTTCTGAATGTTTTTTGCTGAAAAGGATGAGTTCTGTTTTTTTGCTTTCAACTGAAGTGAGTGTTCTAAAAAATACTGCAATTGGCTTCGAAAGCTTCAAGAGCTTTTTGTGGATCGTAATTTTTACAGAATAGTAATGTATCATCCGCATATTGAAGTAAGAAGTCCCTTCTTACAATTATCGATGGTTGTTAATGTAGAGATTGAATATTAGAGGGCCAAGAACATGTGGTACACCCTGCTCAAATCAATCCAATCGGAATCGGTGTTGTTAACAATTGTTTTCTGGCTTCCGTTGGTGACAAAGGAATTGATCATTTCTATAGCTTCTTCGGAAACGTTTGACCCTTTTAGTTTCTGTTTAAGATAAAAATGATCAATAGAATCAATTGCTTTAGAGAGATCCAGTAAAGATTATGCTACAGTTTTGTTGTTGTCTTTTGCTTTTCTGAATGCTTCAGTGCAATAAAGAATAGCGTCGATTGTTGAATATGATGTTCTGAAACCAAATTGGGTATTACTTTGTAATTTTTGTGATATCAGATATTCGTTGATTTGTTTATATAACAATTTTTCAAAAACTTTAGAGAGAGCAACAGTTATAGAGATAGGCCTATAGTTTTCTGGTAATTCTGGATCCTCTTTTTTGTATATTGGTGTGACAATTGCTTTTTTGAGCTCGCAAGGATATGTCTTGTTTTTCAAAAAATCATTGTATAGAAATGTCAGATGTGTGTATTTTTCATTGGAGCCATTTTTCAATGCCGAGGCTAGAATTTTGGATGGACCTGGAGCCTTTCGACAATTTAAACTATGTATTTTTTTTTAACATTCAGCTGATGTGATGGATCGGAATGAAAATTTATTATTATTTTGAATGTTACATGTAGAAGTCGGTGGACTTTGCCTGATTTTTGATTTTTTCTCATGAAAGCATCCAAGAGTTGAGAACTTGTAATTTAGCAGGTTCGCCATCTGTACATTATTGGTTATGAAATCGCCGAAAGAGTTTCTGAGTAATGAAATGAAGTTGGAAGATTTTTTTGAATTTCTTGTATCGTTTATTATACTCCATTTTTCGCGTTCGATTTTTTTGAAGTTATTTTTTTGAAGTTAAACAGTTGGGATATAAATTTATCATCTTCATAGTTTACCTTTGGTTTGTCGTTGCGAATGAAAATAGTCTCCGGTGGGCACACATTCTTTAATGGTGTCAGCGATGTTAGATGTGAAGATATCGAACCTTACTTCGGGATTATTATTGCTATTGAAAATTTTCAATTTATATTGGATAGTTTTGTTTGAATTTGTAATCGGAGTAATTGGATTTGTCATACATTTTACGTTTGATTGGTCTTACGTTGCTGTTCAGCTTATGTTCTGTTATGAATGCTGTTGCTTGGTGGTCGGTCTTACTTGGTGATGTGAATACTATTGAGTTATTTGTTAGATCTTTTATGCTTAGGTCGGTGATAATATAGTCAATTAGTGCTTTTGAGTGAGTAGGTATTAATTTGTTCGTGACGTCCAGATAATATGGTATTAGGATTTTATCTAAAGACTGTTTGTCGTCTTCGTTGAGATAGTTAAGATTGTAATCTCCTAGTAAAATTAGATTTGAATTAAATGACTGTGCATCGTCAATTGATTTGGCTAGATCTTCTACGAAGTCTGTTTTGTTGTTTCTATTAGGATTGTAGGGTAGGTTTAATTGAGTGGTTCTATCATTTTTGTTGAGTTCGCTTTTAAACTCTATTCAGATGCTATCATACTTTTTGTGCATGTTGTTCAAATCCTGTCTTACCTTTGGGTTTAACTTTTTAGGAACCAGTAACATGACCCCTCCACTCTTCAATTTTTTACTTGATTCATAAGTTCTATCACATCGGAACAACTTATGATTGTCATTGAACCATGTCTCGGAAAAACCGAAAATTGTATTATCATTAAAAGTTTTAATAAGTTCTTTGAGATCTGAACGCTTTCCAGCTAAACTTCTCTAATTAAGGTGTAGTACTTTTAAGTTGTTGTTGTGGTTTTCCAGTTTTTCTTTATTTTCTGAATTCCATGAAGGATCCTGGATTTGGGTGGATATCCCCTGCTGTTAGAAGAGTTTTATGAAGAGACTTTTCTTGTTTTTTGTAAGTCTTGCTTCTTGTAATTTTTATTTAACAATTGTAATAGTAATAGCTGATATTGTTAAGTATAGTGCAATAAAATTTGTTCGAGTATATTGTGGCAACCCATGGAAAAAGATACTTTTTTTTATTATTCAGTACTTTATAAGCTAAAAATTCATCGCTTTCGCAGAAGCTGATGACAGATATGCTAGTTAAGAGAAAAAGTAACAGCATATCGTTTTGTAGAACAATTTGAGTTAAAATTACAAATAACAGTCGTTTATCAAAAAGATAGTCTTAACTAGCATTACTTAATAATAAAAACCTTGCGAGTAGTTATATGACTGCTGTTACGATTCAGATTATGGTTATAATTACTATCACAGCCCCATGAGTTGTTGTTGAAATTATTTTGACCAGTTTGTCGGCCATGACCAGTCTGTCGGCCATATGGGTGCATGCGATCGTTACTATAGGGTAGATTGGTAGACCTATGAACATTATTATGTTGATATTTGGAAAGCAATTTTTGGTTGGAATTTGCTTTTCCAGTATAACCAGGGGCTGGTTTTACCCTCGGGAGTTTAGTTGAGTGTTTGAACACGTATCAGCCGAGGCAATTACGCAAGAATGGTATACCTAATTCATCGTTCAGGTGTGTAGTGTCAAAATATAAACTCTGATAGCTCTTCAAGCTTCTGAAGTTTGAGTTTAGAGTTAGCACCTCAAATCCTGTCGTCGAACCATACATTTCATTCAGAAATAATGATCAGTTTTGTCATTAGCATCATCATTGATAAGTAGTGGCGGTATTTCGCAAAGAAACAATCAAATCTGGTGAAAACTTTGCAGTTATTAAAGCGATAAATTCTTCATATTTGGCGCTAAATTCATCAACCGTTGAGTAAATTTTTTTAGGATGGAGTTTGTCCCATTTTGGATTATCACACAGTTAAGTTTTTTTCTTTATTTTGGTCAAGGACTTTTATTTTATCCTCAGTGGAGCTACCGTTGTATGCATGAACAACAGTATCATTGGGGAAAGTTTCAGTTTTTACCCTAGCAATTATACTTGAATCCAAAATTAAGTTTACACACTCCTCTGGTATAGGAAAAAGCGAAAAGTTTATCACAGTTTTTGATACTTCTTTTGGTTTCGTCGATGTTGACTGTATTTTGCCATCCTTGTTTGCTTCCGATGTTTTCTCAAAAAACTCCGCTATTTTACGTTACTCTTGTTTTTGGTCGTAGAAATCGGAGTAAATCTTGTATAATGCTGATTTTTTAAGTCCATTAAATTTGTCTTAGCTAAGTTTTTGCTTGTGACGGTTAACATGGATGCAAATGACTGGTAACTGGAAGAACGGTATTTGATAATGACTTCAGATCCTGTATTTCTGCTAAATAATTTAATTTTAGTGCTGAGATTACTTTCTTTTTCTGCAAATTAATTTCTTTTTTCTGCTTTATAACTTTCTTCAGCAAAAATAAATTTCTTTTTTCCTTTCCCAAAATCATTTTGTTCGATCAAGCAATGACTACCTGTTTTTCTGCTGATAAATATGTTCTGCTAAAAATAAATTTTCTCCTGCAAAAAATTTTTCTTTTCTGCTGAATAATTTTTCTGCAAAACAGTTTCTTTTTCTGTTGAATAGCTATAATTTTCTTTTTCTTCTAAATTGTTTTTCTGTAACTGTCATTTTTTTTGCCAAGTTCGGTTTTTAATACAGATTTTCGAAAAAAGCATGTATGGAACTTTCCAAATTTAGGGTTTGATAATATAATGTTCGGATGTTTTGTTTTAATTCGAATAAATTTTCTAGTTCAGACTAATCTCTATCTAAACGATAATGATTACTCAAAATTATTATTAATTCCACTTTTCTTCGAACGTTTGTCCAGGTTGTAGCTGATCTAATTGTAAAAAAAAATTTCCGCAATTTGAAGTTGGTCTTCTT